ACTATTTAGAAAAACAGCACAGCTGTTGCTGGCTAAGAAAATGATTCCATAGAGCTCCAGTCAGATATTTCCTCATCATAAAAGCTCAACTTACTTATAAGCAAATTGGGCTGTAAAAAGATAACTTTTTAAACGTTTTTTTTAATTAAGATTTATGAGATCTTTATGTAATGTCTTAAAGGCACTAAGGAAAATGAGCTTGCAGTATTCCCTTGAGGATGGAGAACTTTGGCCAAGGACACTAGAGCAGAGTGAACATTCATCATTCCAGCATATTCAGATATTTATTTGCAGCTGTATAACACAATCTAATTGACGGCACTCCCGAAAGCCTTTGTTTGCCACCTCATTAGCCTTACAGCTGTAGCTCTGCAGAGTAGCTGGGTATTCCGAACGATGCAACTACAGGACTGTCATCTCTGCCATCCTGACAGTGCAACAAATGTGCTGCAAACCCAGCATACCTTCTGAGCTGAACAATCATGAAAACAACCACACTTTCTAATATCTCACTCATGATTCAATACATAAGTTGATTTTTAATCTTTCCTGTCCCTTTTTTTTTTTTTAAGGAAAAAGGAAGGATGCTGTTGATGTTTTGTTAAAGGAGAGCAGTTGTAAAGAGGGATGTGAGGGTGCTCAATGAGCAGGACGCAGACTCTTAACAGATGGTGAGAAATAACTTCATCCGAAAATGAGAACTTTTCCCCTTATGGAATAGTTTGCAAACTCAACACACTCCATAATTCACTATTGGTCATGCCTAAAAATGTCAGCTTTGCATGAGGGTTCTTTTGTTATGATTATTACTAGATAAGGTTCTCCAAATATCATTGGTTTAGATTTCTATTTGCCCTGGAAAGCCCAGGCACAAAGAATAGTTTCTGCAACATTTTAAATGATATCATCTCTCTTTTATTCTTGAAAATATTCATTAAAATAAACTCAGGATTTAAAATTTTAAAATAGTCTCACATCAAAAGCATCTTGGGTGTCCAGAGTCTACTGCAGGGTTGTTTTTTCCTTAACATTTTTCATTCTAAGCCCCTCTTTGGCAATCTGGTGAACCTATGGAACCTCTTCTCAGAATAATTAAGCTAAATTAAAATACACAGGATTTAAAGAAACCCAATTATATTAAAATATAATTATCAAATCTGTGATATAGAAATATGTGTGTTTTTATTAATTCATCAAATAATGAAATATAATGGTAGGCCTAGGAACCCACCTAAGCCACCGTGGATAATCTGCCCATTTCAAGATCCTTACTTTAATCACATCTGTAAAGTCCCTTTTGCCATGTAACATTCGGTTTCCAGGAAGGAAGACCAGATAACTTTAGAGATCATTGGTCAGCCTACCACACAGGGCTTTCTAAGCTGCACTGATCCCTGGAACTATCTCACCCAGCCCATTCCTTCCCCTCAGGGAGAACAGCCACCCTTGAAATCTGACAGCCACTGCTCTACGAGCCTTCAGGTAGGAAAAACACAAAATAAACCAACTGAGAATCTCTGTCTCAGATGTAAGTAACACTGTCTTATTTCAGCCATTATTATATACTCATGAAATTATAATCTCTAAACAAGGAATGGTTAAGTCATTTCATAACATATTTTCAGAAAATATGAAATGATTGAACGAAGAATACATGACAAATATCGAGGCCTCTGTTCAGGGATTTCCCCCCAGGCTTTATATCCTGATAAGACCACCTGAGCATGTCACTCCCAAAGAGGTGAATCACAGACATGATCTAAAGATGCCAGAAAACAGACATTTTAGGCTGTTTATTCATGCTCGACTGAAAGATTACCTGTAAGTCTCTACCACCGATACTTAAAACTGATACACTCAAACAAAAAGAAAATTTGTACATCAAGCTGAAATTAGTGCATTCCTTTTCCCATTCAAAAGTAATATTCCTGCCAACAATAGGTAGTCAAAGTCAAACTGATCCCTGATAAGTGAATGCTAAGAATTATTTAACCACATTCTAATTCCAGCATTGCACATATGTTCTCGAAAAGGAACAAAATAAAATAAATATCCCGCAGTTGTAGTTCAGCCACCTGATACACTCAACCTTTCCCCCCGACAAGGTTAGTCTCCTTTGCCCCTTCTTTTCACATCACCTCTTCTTTCTCTAGCTCACTTAGCCTCTATGTTATATTCCAACTCTCCACACTTTGTTAGTGATGCTTTGCTCCAGCTACATTTAAGGTGCACTATCTGTCACTGGCTTTCCATTTCAATTGTTGACGGAGCTGAGTTGGATGCAGACTTAATCCCTGCCAGGACCAGATCTCTGACAAGCAGCAAGAGACACTTCTTTCAGGGAGTTATACTGATCGAACCTCTCCAGTTTGATCAATATAATTAAAGACAGAGGGCTCTCCCTAATGGGTTTCACGCCTAAATCGCAAACCATCCTTCACTGGCACCCTAGGCCTCAGCCGAGGCCTTCCCAAAGCATGCCAATAACTCGTAATTCTGCACACACTTCCTATGAAATGTCCCCCGTCAACTGCCAACAGTTTTTTCATCATTCAGTACTCAGTTGGGAGTCAGCAGCTTAGTCAGGTTTCTCTGAAACAGTCCCTTAACTCTAGCAAATCCCTCTTCCTTTGTGTTCTTAGTGTCTACACGTGTTGCTACTGGGGCACTCGCAATGCTTCATTGACATTTTGCCCACAGTTCTGTGTTTTCAAGTTAAAATGTGAGTTTTCGTATCATATCATGATCATTTTTGTATCCCCCAGTTCGTAGCAAAATACTGGCACATATTAGACTGCTAAGGGTTGAATGCAGAAGTTTGCCTTTACCTTCTTCCTAACCTACTTTAGGAAATATTAGCTGTGATTCATTTATACCTAGACCTAAGTATCTGCTCATACACAGGGCTAGCTGCTCTCTAAATCTATATTTCTAAATGTAAAATAGAAGTGGTTCTCTCTGTTAAATAGGCTCCAGAAAGTAGCAAGCGTGCATGATGTTTCTGAGGACTGGCAGCCCTCACATCCTGAAAACACACCTTAAAGGTATCCTAGGCTGGGTGATTTGCAATCTGCAGTCCCAGGATTAGACTGGATCTATTCTCACGACCTGATGATTGAATCCTCTCTATAATACCCAGAATGATAGTGGAGACCTCATTTGAGCACATCGAGCAACCTCCCAAAGAAGCCTGTTTCAGTTTTCCAAGTGTCTTTAAAAAAACATACACTTTGACACTTTGAGCCCTCTGGTCAATAACATATGAAGTTTCAAAGTACTGAAGGAAGAAAATCCACCACTGCAAAGTTTAAAATAAAACAACAACAACCAAACAAGAAGTACAAATCATTTGAGGACACAGTTTCACTTTTCAATTTGAGACTCAAGAATGCTAGCCACCCTACAGTAGTCATATCTAGGAAAATCAAGATCGCACAGGAAGCCGTTTGTGCATAAAATGCTATGGCAGGAAACTGACTAGTTCAGCAAAGAGACAGGATGCTTCTTGTCTCTAGTGTTGTTTAATTCTGTGTCTCCTCCATGGGCCAACTGCTCTGAGATAAAGGATTGTAAAGTTGCCTCATGAGAGCAGACTGGAGTACAATTAATAATAAATGCAGGACTAATACAAAAGCACTGCTTGGTGTTGCAAGGAAGCTGAAGTCAGTCAGCAAAGGTGAAGGGAAAAGGGCAGTCTAGTAATATTATGTAAAACAATGCTGTGATCCACAGAATACAAAGTTCTATATAATGTGCTGCTAATAAAAGGGACACTATCAAAATAAATAGTAAGCATGCTTTGAAAAAGTGCCTCTTCAGGATAATCTTTTCCATGAAGCCTGAAGAATCCGAATTCGATTGCTTGAAACCTGCTGACACTTATCCCTCAACAGTCCACCCTGTAGTTGCGGAATTACAGCCCCACAAAGATGTCCACACGCTAATTCCCTGGAACTAGAACTAAACTGCCTTACAGGGCAACAGGAACTTTGCAGATGTGATTAAGGTTAAAGACCTTGAGATGGGAAATTATCCTGGATTATCCAAGTGTCCAACCGAATCACATGGTTCCTTAACATTGGAGGCGCTCTCCCAGCTGGGGTCAGTCAGAGGGAGATGAGACTAGAGTGGAATGGTAGAAGAGAGGCATAGGTGCTGGCTTTGAAGATCGAAGAAGGGGCCCCCCAGGCAAGGAATGCGGGTGGCCTCTGGAAGCTGGAGAAGGCAAGGAACAGATTCTCCTCCAGAGCAGTAAGGGAGGAATGTGTTCACAGGGGAGGAATGTATCCAAGCCCGTACCTTTTAGCCCAGCTTATCCCAGTGAGACCCATGCTGGATCTGTGATGACATCATGGTTAGATAATAAATTTGCATTGTTTTAAGCTAAACCACCAAATGTGTGGCAATGTTATAGTAGCAATAGAAAGCTAATATACACCCATATTCTTTCAGAGGTTTTACTCAAATGTGAAAAATGATACAAACTAAAACTGTCATGACCTCAAAAGTGACTATTTAACAGATACCCTAACATTTGCACATGACTTATTTCTAAAATGTTTTTCTGAGAGGCAAACAGAGAAGGTTCTGAAATAGTAGATCTTTCAAAGAGGTAATGAAAGGTTCCATAAGCACTTAAAAAAAACCTGACAGATTATCAATTTCTTCCAATAAACTCAGTAGAAAATATCATTCAATGTGCTTGAAATTCTTTTGTACTTAAGTGGAAAACCCTTCATCCCTATGACCTCCTCTACTTTCCTCTTCCCTTCTTCCTGCAAACCTGACTTTGAAATATTTTTTAGATGAAGTTTTATAATAAATATTTATTGGCACACATGTTTTCTAGAATTTATTACAGTGATTAAAAACTATTAAAATTCAATTTGCCCACTGAAGCTTTGCTGTTGTTGAACAATGTAGCACTGACTCACATTGCAGGCCTTATTTACATCTCACTGGTGAAGGAAGAGGTAGAGCTGAAAATCCTTCTTACTTACCACTTTGCAGAAAAGGGGCCAAAACCACCACATCAAACCAATGCCCAGGAGTAGCAGTAGCACTAAAATGGCGATGACGGCTGCAATCCCATTCGACTGGAGGAAGAAAGAAAAACAAGGCGGTCAGCAAGGCCAAGGGTCAAGTCCCTGTGGGCAAGAAGGGGGTCACACACTGAACCCGACAAGCGCGGGGGAGGCCCGCATGGGGGCCTGGCAAACTCAGAGGCCGAAAGTCACCACATGGGATGGTCTGCACATAAAATTCCTAACTACAAACAGGTCATGGCCAGGAGTCCTGTCCTAGGCCTCTAGCTTCCCTGACAAAGGTCAATCTTTATCTTCAGTGGGCCTGTCTGCTGCCTTTAGACATCTAAGATAACACACCTTTAAAATGTCGAGTAATCTCCTTTCCCAGAACCCTCGGGCACATGCGCCTCACCAGAAGCCCTCACTGTCACCTCCTTCCCGGTTCACCAGAACCATCTCCCTGCTGTAAACGTTAACTATTTACTACTCTGTGTTCTCTGTTTTATGTTTGCTCCAATCCCAGAGATTCCTGCCCCGTTTGCTCTCTCCCGCCCTCTTAACTGCCAACAATGGATTTCATGTAACTCCCCTTAGATCTCCTACTTTGATTCATTTTTTGTTTGTTTTTTCTTTTTTGTTTTGTTTTGGGGAAACAATGCTAGTGAATGTTTCCTCTTTATTTCTTATTTAGTTATTGGTTTTAGAAAGGGAGAGAGGAAGAGAGAGAGAAACACCGATTTATTGTTCCACTTATTAATGCATTCACTGGTTGATTCTTGTATGTGCCCTGACCAGGGATCAAACCCACAACCTTGGCGTATCAGGACGACACTCGAACCAATTGAGCTACCTGGCCAGGGCCTTTGATTCTAATGTATAAAATAAGTTGCAAAACTGCTATTCTTCAGAGCATCTTCCCAATCCATTGAGATTCTGCTTCCCAGCGATGTCGTCAGTTTGGCTCAAACAGTCTTAAAAATTCTCAACAGACTTGCCCCGGCCAGATGGCTCAGTTGGCTGGAGCGTTGTCCATACACCAAAAGGTTGTGGGTTCAACCCCTGGTTGGGACGTGTATGTGAGGCAACCAATTGATGTTTCTCCCTCTTCTCCTTCCAAAAATCAATAAAAACATATCCCTGGGTGATGATTAAAAAAAAAAATTCTCGCCCAGCCGGGCGTGGCTCAGCAGTTGAGTGTCGACCTGGGATCCAGGCGATCGGGGTTCGGTTCCCAGTCAGGGCACATGCCCGGGTTGCTGGTTTGGTCAATGACTCTCTCATCATTGATGTTTCTCTCTCTCTCCCTCTCCTTCCCTCTCTCTGAAATCAATCAAGATATGTTTAAAAAAAAAAAAAATTCTCAACAGGTTTGGATGATTCTTATGTCTACATCCAATATACATTTTTTATTTTTTATTTTTTATTTTTTTTTAGGAAACACCAGAAAATAATACAGGAAGCACAATAATGTAAAACCAATTTTTATTTCTTTAAATTCTTTAAATTGTGTAAATTGTTTTATATTCTATTTCATATGTTATTATAAGGCAAGCAATAATAAATATAAAATCTTCCACAAAGTGCTAGAGATTGTTTTAAATTATGTCTTAAAGAAACACAGAAAAAAATCACCATTTGGGTTACAGGAATGGTCCCCACGATCCCTTTTGATTCTGGGAAAGGATTACTTTTCTACAAGCATGATTTCCTCTAGGCAGAATTTTCCTGGACTTTTTGAGGACAGAATACTATTTACTTTATATATTTAATGATAGAAGAGATGAATATCAAAAATCACCAAGAAGGTGAAAAATTAACAGCAGTGGTTCTTGGCAGATGGCATACACACACCGATGCAAGAATGCAATCGCATGCATTCCTTTATCAGAAAATCTCTCAAGGCAGCGCAAGCACCACCTCCACAAAAGCCACAGTCATGTTCTCTTACTTTCTAGTGTCGAGTTCCTCCAGCCCCAGGGCCCTTCTCTGGGCTGCCTCCAGCCCCCTTCACCTAGCAGCCACCCACTCATCCTACAAAGCTTAGCTGAAGTCACTGCCCCAGGAAGCTTCACTGTGAGCTCCAGGAAGACCCACTTGCAATGTACATCCCATGCTTGGCTATCTACCAAGAGAATGAACTCCCAAGAAATAAGACTACAAAAGCCATAAACTCCAAGAAGAGTGTTTACTGAATTTTTAGGGTAAAGCTAAAGTTTCCAAGGGGGACAGGGTGTCTCTCTGTGGGATCCCCAATAATAATGTTTTCTTTTGTTTTGTTTTAAGGGAAAGAATTCAGGGAAGAAAATAATAAATCAATACACTGTCTGGATGAAAATTTGGGACTTTATAAGGCAGATTTTCAGAGATACATTTTCTTTCATTCCAAACAAATAAGAAGTAGAAACTCTGAAGTCAGGGCGAGAGCCACATTTATCCCAAGAGCTGACAGACGGAGAGCTGGGGGGCCGGGCAGAGAACCTACCAGCATTGGCTTAGAATGTCATTGTATTAAAAGAGCTAGAAAATGGGGGCCCTGAGAAATTAAACAGTTTGCTTAAAATTAGACCTTTATATTAATCCACAAAATAACAAAGCCAGTTGTTCCTGAAGCAACAAACTCTGTGGAAAAGCCATGACTATTATGACTCTTAGAAAATCACTGCCCATTTGCATGTTTATAAAGCTCTGCATGGTTTTGGAGTTAAAAAATACAACTTAATATCAGCACAGAAGCATTTGTTTTTTCTCATAGTTTTCACTATCCTACAAATCCAGGATTTCCTCGAATCCACTTTGGAAAATGCACTGATCAAAGCTAAGAGACTTTCTGATGTTTAAGTGAGAATGGTAGTAGCATTTAATTAGAACATTTTATAATGGAATTTGAAGTGTAACCCATAATGACCTATGCACAAAAAGAGATAATAATCTTTATATAAACAGTTATTTGTAAATAACTGTAAAAAGAAGAAAAGGCAGTTTTCAAAAGCAAGGAAGTGCTGGTAAAATACATTGTGTTCAGTTAATCTGAAAATCTTGAAATGTGTCATTCCTATATAATCTGTTGGTATCACAGGGAAAAACAAAGTAAAAGAGATCACTACACAGTGGCTTGGAAACTGCCCCCAAACAAATCAATTTCAAAGATATTTATTATTGGCAGGCTTTCCGTTTTAATAAATCCATTACAAAATAACTTTTAAAACAATTCTCAGGGGGCTGAATTCTCAGGAGTTGAAAAAGGTGAAAAGGTTAAGAAATACAAATTGGTAGTTACAAAACAGTCACAGGGCTATAAATTACAGCATAGGGAATACAGTCAATAATATTGTAATAGCTATGTACAATGCCGGGTGGGCACTGGCAATAGCAGGGGGATCGCTTTGTAAAAACTATGACTGTCTAACCACTATGCTGTACATCTACAAGCACACATGAACAATTAGAGCTATCATTTGTTTTCTAATTTTGTATCTGGATGGAAGAGGGAATAACCATGGAAGCTACTTATGTAGCTTATGTTAGGTTGCAAATTAACCAAAACAGACACTGCCAAAGCATCGCTTAGAATCCTTGATCATTTCATTTAAGGTATCTTTCAGAAGACAATGAAAAGAACTACAAAAGCTTCACACACCCACACTATCTCCACAGAGCTCTACCATCTACTATTAAAACATTCTTAGGGCACTCAAAGACGCTGTTTCATGATATTTACAGTAAAGAATTAATTTAAAATAATAAATAAAAAGGCACATGCACATCTGGCAACTTCTTGGTGTAGAGTTAGGGAGAATGAGAATGTAAGCTTCACATCAAAACAAGTGTCTTGCACATAGAAAGGGGTGTGTGTGTGTGAGAGAGACAGAGACAGAGAGACAGACAGAGAGAGGGAGAGAAAGAAAAGAAATACTTTACAGAAATCATCCAGGAAATACCGAAGTTCTCTTAAAACCAAAGAAAACAATTCAAACATGCATAAGGCTACTTAGGAAAATACTCAAAGTACATTTTTCTATACAGAATTCTAAACAGCCATGAAAACAATCATGCAACTCTCCCCTGGTTTGATTATGCTCAGCTCTAAGATCTAGGCAAACAGGAATGACAACAGGAAAAGAACGTCAAAGAAGTACATAAAAACTGGGATATCCTATGGAAGAAATGTTGTCAAATGTACAAATGCATGATCCCAGCTTCAGATACAAGGTCCTGTATGAGACAGGCCCAAGCTGACTGTTCGTGTATGGACCGAGCATGACATTCCCCTTGGACCTCTCCTGCATGAACATCCAACAGCAGCACTCATGGAAGGTGCTCCCCATTTGGGGTGCTATACAGCTTTCAAAAGCGTTTTCTGAACACTTGGCTTCCTTTCTTAGAATTCAAACCCTGTGTTCAGAAATCAGGATATGCAGCTAGAGGGTATGAACATGCTAAAAAGTTTAGTGGTTAGTTTTTTCTTTCTTTGAATGAGTCATGAGTAGGAAATTCAGAAAATCATACTAACAGAATATGAAGTAGATGGACTGGGGATGATAGGCAATTAAAACTATTGATTTTCTCTTTAAAAAAATGCCCCTATTAGGAACATTGACAAAACACTATGCATGTCCAGGGACAATATGCATTTTGTATAACAATATTATTATCCCAACTGATTCCAAAGAGTTGACTACAATAAAATTAAAACAAAAATACATACTTTCTAGACCTACAGGCCTAATCTTTATCATATTTAAGCTAAGCATAATGGAACACAGGTCAGAGGAAGCACAGAATTTAACGCAAATCTGGACTTGCATAAATGTATGAAACGCAGCCCTGGATGCCTGGTCCCAGACCTTCATTCAGTTAACTGTATACAAATTCAGACTTTCCCAGTTCCTTTGTTTTTATTTTCCAGAACTATTATCAGTACATGAAAGACTTCAATCACAAAAGGGAAATCATTTCATTGTTCACATAACTTTATAAATAAATTAAGGAAAGGTCAAACACATAGACTTCAGTCCTCTGAGCTGCAAACTGCAGACTCAGGGCCAGATGGAACTAGATATGATAACACG